AGAAATTCGAGACGAATATTCCCAACATGGATTCATTAGTACGCGTGGCGAGAGCTGTATGTTAAGTCGCCATGTCATTATATATATCATGCGCCCAAACTGCTAGCGAGCAATTATGCTGCCGCTCAAACAAGACGCCAAACCGCTCCAGCTCCAGGGGTATCATCTCTCTCCTCGTCTCTATTCATCCTTTCAATCCAAACATCCTCTCTTGTGAGAATCTGAGTCTCAATATCCTCCATCAGACTGAGCTCGGCGAGCGTGTCGTGGATCAACGCCCGAGACCCCTCGAGCATCCGAGCCAGGTTCGACCCCTGGGTGCCTTCCCCTGCCGGAAGATCACCAATATCTCGTAGTTGTCTGCGCCACCCATCCAAACGACGGGTAATGCTTGACAGATCCTCCTTCCAAGATGAGTCCAGTTCGTCAACGAAGAGGGCCTGGCCCCCACTCTTCTGGACAGACATCTGGCCCGTCTGGCGCGCTTCCTCCAGCTCGGACACTTGGTCGATCCAACGCTCGAATCGCCTGACCAGGCGTGCGTATCTCCCCCCTGCCTCTGTTAATGTCCACAGCCCGTTGACTATCCCGTCGAGGGCCTGGATCCGCTCTTCGAGACCACCGGCTGCACCCCACTCCCGTAACACCAGAACATTCAGCCCTTCAACTGCTGCCCGGTCCTGCTCAGCAATCTCACGATCGGTTGACACAAGCTGCTCGAACCTCTGCCCTAGCTTGACCTTGGCGCTGGCCTGCCAGTCAGCATCGACAGCAGCCGCATCCCGGTGCAGGAGATGCAGCTGCAGGAGCTCCGTCTGTAGCCTACTCGTCTCGGCAGATGCGGCAACATTGGCTGGGAGCTTGGACGGCGAAGGCGGAGCAAGGATTGCCGAGGTCAAGGGCTTCGGCGCGGCAGATTTGGCTGGAGAGTAATGCTGTTGTAGCGTGGAAAAGGCGGGTCGTAGACGAGGGGCGGCCTGCTGTGGCGGCTGCTGCTGCTTGGTAGGAGTGCTGATGCTGGACCCTTTGTCTATAGAGAGTTTGGGTGCATGGAGGGAGCGGGTGGTTGTGCCATTGGTGGTTGGCTGTGAGGGCGCCCGCGAATTCAGTCCGGCTCCATTGGTATTACCTGTGGTTGCGGTGCTTTTGGCACGTGTATGGCCGGGTGGTACACGCCGTGTGGTAGTCTGGCTGCCCGTCGATGTTGGCCTGGTGCCCAAAGTACGGGTCGTCGCTGTGGTCGCTCGGGTCGTGGATGTGATAGGAGGGTATCGGCCACTGGCTGTGGTGGTAGTGGGAGACGTGGCGGTCTCTTTCTTGGTAGGCTCCGGCGGCTGCTTTCCGGGGACAGGGCGAACGCGAGAGCCAGATACTGATCGTGGCTGCCTCAGTACAGTGGTAGGCCTTGCCGTCGTCGTTGTCGCGTTTGTGGTATTTGTCGTTGCTGCTGCTCCTGTTGTTGGAATTGCAGTGGCAAGCCTCGTTTGGGAGGACGTGGATGTACTTGTTGAGCTCCGGCTGGGAGGTTTGACTGGGAGACGGCTGGGCGAGCCATAGCGTCCATCTGAGTTGGCCTGGGAGTCTGCAGAAGGGGATGAGGACGTGGATGCAGATACGGGTGGCACTGTGGCTGGCTTCCGGAGCGAGCGAGTGCGCGCGATAGAAGAAGACATGGCAGATTCGGCCCAGCAGCAACAACAACAAACAAACAAACTACTACGGCAGGACAATGTGAGGCAGAGGATGATGACAATGGCCCAGCTGTCAGTCGGTCAAGTGCCCTTCGATAGCGCAGTTCCCCCTTCCTGCAGCATGCGCATGCGCCTATCAGCATGAACCTTACTGATCCTGGCTTAGAGTCAGCGGTGAGTTGCAGTGGGTCGCAGGGGCGGGAGGCTCTGTAACCCCTGTTGCGAGGGTCTCCATTCCCTAAGGAACCCATGGATATAAATCCTAAGGAATAAAGGGCTGTGAGCTTTGCATTTCGACTGTAGTAGAAGCTACTACCTAGGCACTGGTAGACATGTTTGCTGTCCATATCAAGGATAAGGATTTACAGAGGTACGCATCCACAGATGATACAATTGTAGGTGTTAGAAACAACTAGGTATTTGAAGCTGCACGCTGATGGTGGTGTTATTGAGAACTATCGATATTGGCCACAGCGTTGTTCTTACAACCTCTGCGGGGAGGTCGAAATTGCTGTGCTAGTAGCCTCATACATGTCCACACGCCCCTTTGAAAATAAGGCATCCAATTAATATATATATATATATTAAATTACCCAGTACATCTTATCTTGTTTTCTCTCATTAACACTATCGCCAGCTCCGCCGTTACCAGCTACCATCAAGCCTCAAAGGGTATGTATTTTCTTGCGGCACTAGGTACCTATAAAAGGAACTATCAGGGACAAGCATGAATTCAATCTCATTGCAAACCTAAGAATCATACGTGTATTTCCGAAATCTAAAAGGAAGATTGTATTCATCGTGCTCAGTGGCTTTCTCAATTCTGGGGAGGTAGGATCGTTACATAGGTAGCTTGTTAAGTCCCTTACTTTCACCGTTATTTGCATTGGTTCTGCTTTCCCTCGCTATGTAACAGTGATAAGAGCATTGCACACTGGAAGGTGAAGCATTGCTTCTCTTCAAGCTATCTCAATCGCATTGCCAGTCCCCTGCTCCCTCTCGATTGCCTACATCCCGCTTTCCCACCTTCCTTGTCTTGCAAGTCTGCTCCCCTGATTTCCAGGACAACGTCGATGTCTCTTTCCGTACCGAAAATACCTGTGTATATATGTGAGCACTTGGTAGACTATCTGGGTAATGGAGGCAGGCATCGATACCGACATCCCTTCCATTCCGGGCTCTTACACTCGCGCTGGCTCAGGTTCTGCTTTCCCTCGCTTCGTTTTTTTCGGTTGGAGATGCCAGCAATCGCTTGGCGCCGCGTCTTTCGTCCTTCTGCCTGCTAAGCTCCTCTCCAAGGCAAGAGTGTGTATGTGGAAAGAGTGAGCGACCCACGGTTATAAAATGCCCTCCCACCCCAAACTCCGTCTTGATTTTTCTTCTCTTCTTTTCTCTCATGCTTTCGGCACACCTTACCTTTGCAGTATGTGTGCGCTGTCCTGCCTCGGCGTTGTCAAGAGTCAGGCGGGTGTCGGTCAGTCACCCCTTTGCGTGAGGCATACTAACCAATTGCACTACCTCCAGGTGTCGCACCCTCTTCTTTTTTTCATTGTATTAGCGGCTTGTCCGCTAATGTGAAGAAGAAATATCATAATCTTCCCTATCACGGGTTAGTAGAATGAGTTTGCCCTCCGCAGTTGCCTTGGGATCTTCTTCTTTCGGTTTCTTCCATAGCTTCTCGACGATGCCCGCGGACGGTGTTCAGCCCAGGGTACGTTGGCTAGCTTCTTCTCATCTTTTTTCTCATGTACTTGGGAACCTTGTAGTAGGTGCATTCTCTCATGTACTGGGCACCTTGTGCTGGGCGCATTCTCGCTTCGACCGGAAACCTGTCCTGCCTTTAATGTTCAAGGTGTCGATGACGGGGGCCGGTCTCCCCTTTGCGTGAGGCATACTGACAAACGTTAGAGGCTGGCTGGTCTGGTGAGTATCACGGTATGACTTTCAGTCTAAATCTCCTGGCCTATTATTTTATTAGGGATTCGGGGGGGTTTCAAGTCATCTAGGGCACTGGGAAGGGGGGGCAACCAGTTCCTTTTATGCACTTGAGTTGGCTGTGTGATGTGCCAATTTGAGAAAGGGGGCGCAGGAAATGCTACTTTTTACGTTGGACTTTTTCGGCTTTGAATCTAAAAATATGGCGAAGCAAGCCAAGGGACAAGGGTTTTCTTTTTCTTTTTGTCATCTGTGCATTTAAACTCCGCCGTAGAGCTTCCGCGGCGGGTTGTTGTAGGCTTTTGGGTGCCTCAAGTCGGGGATGGGTATGCATCTAGCTGCGCAGGGAACAAGGAAAGTTTAGCCACCAAGACGATTTTTTCTTTTAGAATTACGACTCTTTCATCAGCTTGAATCTTGTATTTGTTCTTCCCTTAATCTAAAAGGTGTCTTCTTAACCTAGGTAGCTAATGTAGGTTTGTTACGAGCCCTCGTGTAGGTGTAAACCCAGATAGAGTTTGAGCCCAAATGATGGGTAAACCTGTATGATCTCGTGTTGGAAAGAATTTTTTTAACGATCAAGACCTCGTGTAACGAGCATGAAAGTTCGCAGTGGCTACGGATCCTCAAGAGATCCCCTCGAGTAGTGCTGCTGCGATGACGAGAGTCGTCGGAGTGGCAATAGCAGCCAGTACATGGTCAGCCCGTTGTCAAGCCCGGCTTCTTATGTGGTATTACGGTCTGGCATAGCTGCCGGGATGATTCACAACTTGTCCCCGAATCCAAGTCCGCTGAAGCAACTCTCACCTCTACTCTCGTCGTCTACTTGGAAGGAAGCATCAAATTATCACGTCTCAGTTCAAGGTCGATCATGTTTGAATTTACTTTTTGTATTTTTTCACATCGACTACATGTGAGAGCGCCCTTCTTCTCCATCTACTTATTCGTAGAGTAATAGCGTTCGGTCGACGACACTCTCCATTCACTCGTAGAAAGCATAGCTTTTCCCAGGCCGCACATCCAGCGGAGGCCTTCCCCCCCCATCATCCAGGTCTGATGTACAATAAAAACATATGAACTCGATATCATCAATAGTCAATCCAAGACTAGCGAGTCCTGCACATGGCATTATAGCCCCTTGTTTGTTCCCCCTTCTATTATATTCGAAACCCAAAAAGATCAGTGTTTGTTAAAGAGCCCAACATTCCCGTTCTATATAGCGCAGCCGGGAGACTTGAGAAAAATAGGAAATAGGAGAAAATCAAGGTAGGGAGACAACAAAGTTGAATATATTTGGCCAGGCTGAAGCCAAGGTAGAAGGAGAATTATCGGTAAAGACAAAGAGAAAATTCATTCGTATGTGTGGCTTTCAACTCAGCTGGCGGAGGGCGTTTGGCCGGCCAAGCTGTGCATTAGGGAAGCCAAGTCTTTCTTTTTAGAGTCCAAGACGCCCATGCAGGAATCGCATATTCTCAGGGAGCAAAATGTACAAGCCCATCGATCTTCCGTATCCGACTTCTGGCAAGTTTGGCAGGCCAGAGGGTAGAGTTTGTTGTTGCGCTTCAGCATGGACTTGTGAGATTGATAACAGCGGTAGTGCGTGGTTCTGAGAGGCACCGCTTGGAAAACCGTACCCTCGGCGACAGGCTCGCTATTCTGTAATGGGAAATACGCGGCCCTGGGGTCAGGTTCCCGCAGCTCCTTCATCTCCGGATAGAGCGTTCCGTCTCGTCCTCTGTAAAGAAGCTCGCCCGAAGATGAGCGAACAAACCTGTCGGGCTCCGGTGCCGTGCTTCTCATGGAGTCTAGACGTCGTCTCGAGTCAGGATGGGCTGAGCCACTTCGTGAATCTGGGCGAACAGAGGCATTTCTTGACGCTGGCCTGAAGTAGCCCTCAGGCTGGCGACCACGTGGTCCGTCTGGACCGGGCGAGTTGCGGCCGGAAAGACCAGGTGAGTTGCGACCAGAGAATGGCATGGCCGCGTAAGATGGAAACGGTTCAGTCAAAGGGGGAGTCCCAGCTCTCGACCTCATATCAAGAGAAAGTCTTCTTGGTGTTATTGGGGCTGGAGCTGAAACCGGCTGAGGAGCGTTAAGAATAGGGCCATCAGGGGTAGGTTTCATTGGTGGGGGTTGAGTCTCAACCTTCACTTCTGACACCAACTGTTCCTTTTTCATTACCGTAGGTTGATTTTCCGACTGAGCCTTGGGCAAATCTTGTGCTGACTCGTTATGAGGAGGCTCGGGAGAGGAGGCTGGAGAAAGAGGGGAGGCGAAACGGTCAACGATTGGAGTCTTAACATCCTCCTTTTGATACTCCGGGGTTGGTGGCCGATATCCAGTAGGTGGGCTTTGCTGATCATTGCCTTGGGATTCTTGCGAAGCCTCTTTATTGATGTCTTGGTTGCTCTCCTTGAGAGCGTTGGTGGGTCCTTTGACGAGCTCCTTGGCAGGCTCATCGGTCACTTTCCTCGAGGGTTCCTGGATGGCTGTCTTTCCGGGCTCCTTGACGAGTTCTTTGACAGCATTCTTGGGGGGCGGGTAGGAAGGGCTTTGGAAGTCATCAATCGCAGGTTCCTCGACAGTTTCTAACTGAGTTGGGGCGGCCTTGTGTTGCTCGAGCCAATCGGAAGACAGGTCAAAGAAGCCAGAACCCGACTTTGCGAGTGATAGTCTCGGGGGTGCCTGATTCATCTTCTTCTCGGGGCTTTCCTCGACGATTTCATTGGCAGATTGTGACGGGATCCGCCCATGCTTCGGTGGTTCTGGCCAGTTCGCCTGTGCCAGGCTTGGCCCTCCTTTCGGTGGTTCAGGCCAGTTCCCCTGTGCTAGGGTTGGTGGTCCGGTTGGCGGCATTGGCCATTTCGCTTGTGCTGGAATCGGTTCTGTCTTGGGGGTATTTGGCCAGGCTGACTGGGACGTGAGTGAGGACGGCAGAGGTGGCTCTGGCTTCGCAGTGTCTGCGTTTGGTTGCTTTGGCAAGCTAGGCATAGCTTTCGATAGGTCCAATCTGGTCATTCCGGGCTGGGGGAATTCCGGAATGGGGGGCTCCGGTGCTGTCATGTCCTTCATCGAGTTCTTTCGGGAACGGCTGCCACCATCCTCAGAACGGCGGGGAAAGTGGAATTTGTCCCGGTTGAATACATCTTTGCTGAAGACATCCTTATTAAAGACGTCCTTGCTGAATACATCCTTGTTGATCTTGTCCTTAATTAACTTATCCTTGAGCTGCTTGAATTTGGAGGTTCCATTGCCCATTGTTCGGGCAAAGGCTGACTGCTCAGCCACTGTTGAAGGCTCAACAGTAGGTGCTGTCGGTTGCTTCTGGGGGAGAGGAGGTGGGACTTCCGTCGTCGTAAAATCCGCCCGTGTTTGCGACGGCTTGCGAAGCCCAAGGACAGACTTGGGTGTGGTGGGAACTGTGGTGAAGGTTGTTGCGAAAGTAGGTGCAGGTGATGGGGTGGCATTTACGGCTGTCGAGCCGAAGCTGTGATTGAGCTGCAAGTCCGGAAGATCGCGACTCCCCTTGCCTGTTCGGCGAGTCCAAAGTTGTTCTCTTGGAGGTGAGCGAGCCCTGAGATCGGGTGTGGTCGAGGCTGCTGGGGTAGATACGGGAGCCGGGGCCGGAGTGGGAGCGGGAGCAGGGGAGGGCCGCTGAAGCTGACGCGCAGGGTCCTTGGATGGAGGCGGCGGCGGCAGCGGGGAAGAAGATGGCTCAACAGCACTTGGAGGCTGCTGCTCTTGAGGTTGTGCAGGTTGAGATGGTGAGCTGTCAATGACGGCCGGGATTGTGGATACGGGCTGGTTTATGGTTTTAGCTTCGATGCTGGAGGAGGCCCCGACGATCGGTGTCGGAGCCTGTGCCTGGGCCTGTACCTGCGCCTGTACCTGCACCTGCAGCTGTGCCTGAGCCTGCAATGGGGGCATGGGTGGGGCGTGAATGCCCAGTCCCTCGTCGTTCGTATGCGAATCGCGCGTGCTGTACGTGCCATCAGAGGATCGGTAGACGGACTCGGTCGAGCTGCGCGAGTATGCAGAGAGGATGCTCAGCACCGAGTCGGCCGGCGATCTGAGTGGCTGCGGAGGCTGCGAGGGATCCAGGAACAGAGCCGTGGAAGCTTCCTGTGGCCGCACGTCATCCCCCTCTGCAGGCCCGGCCCTTGGTTGCACCTGGTTGGGCGCATCTGCTTTAGGTTCCGCATACGCCTGCGTGGCCTCATTGCCCGTCTCCTTCGACTGCCTGACTCTGGGACTCCAGGTTTCGGGTCCTGATATCGAGACGGGACTTTCGGGGCTGAATTGGGCTGGAGGTTCGCTTGCTTTCGGCGATGATAGCGATTGGGAGGGAGTTTGCTGCTGCTGTTGTACTGGTGGCGCAGGCGCAGGCTGCTCCTGGGCGGGAACCTGAACCTGAGTTTGTCCCGAGATCACACCCTGGTTCACCGGCGACGTGATTGAGGGCTTCCTGGCCGTATGCTTGGTGCTACCGACAGGTCGCCTTGGAATCATCATTTTCGGCAGCCCGGTCGCGGGCGTCGCCGGTGCCGTGGCTTCGGTAGGCGCGGGTCCCGGGGTCGCTGTGGCTATCCGTTTCTTCGGAATGGGAGGCAGAGGAGTGAACTGAATAGGTGTTCGAGGGTCGTCGTTATGAGGCGGAGGAGGCGGAGGAGGGAGCTCTGAGTCGGCTGGAGATCTGAGAGGAGTTACAGGTGTGGGTAGGACGGCGGTGGGCGAGGTTGTCGAACTCGAGAATGCACGGCTCTCCTCCACATGGTTGGTATCAAGGCCCGGAATAGCAGGGAGCGCTTTCGAGAAACGCGACCGCCCAGTCCCCGTGGAGGGGACTTGGAGGGATCCTGCTTGCAGCATTGCGAGCTGGTCGGCGTGGTGCGCGCGCGGTGTGTCACAGTGCTCGTGTTGAGGTAATAGGGCCTGGGAATGGGTCTTGGTGTCGTCTGACGACGAAACATGTACGCCCAGGTCAATGTTATGCGTCGTCCTGTACGATCGAGTTCCGGCTGGGTCCGCACGATGTCACGAAAGGGCCTGGAAGATCGAGAAAATGAGTCCGGCGTGTTACAGATATGCCCTAGGCCAGCGAGTGCATGGTGTCGGCGCCGTCGTCGTTCATGCCGTTTCCCCCTCTTTACGGATCCTTTCCTGGCGTCTGTTCTCGAAACTGCGGCTCTTTGTGTCGTTGGAGCTTGGGTTGTTGCGCATCCAGTTCCCGGCTGCTTCGGGGGCGAGAGAAGTTGTATGATGTGGGAGACGAATTATACGGCCAAAGAGGAAGGCTGGAAACCTTGGAATGCTGTAACCGTCGGGGTGTAGGGGCGAAAATTCCCACAGCGGCGCTATAACGACTAATACATTCTATTGAAGACAGGGGTAGAACGATCTGTGACAACACGCGATGTAATTTACAGCAAACCAACCCCTGCAGAACGAGGCCACCTCCACTCTCTCCTCGATGTGACTCTCTTGATTCGCCAGGGCCGCTTGGTGGTTCTCTCTCCTGGGACCTCTTTGAACCCGGGAGGCACCGCACATTGTTCCTGGCGGCTTCGTCACTAGCAAGCGCTTGTTGCGGGATAGCGCTCAGCACTTTGAAACACCGACTAGGCCGGACTGCTCTGAGAGACTGGCCTCTGTCCTGTCATTTATTTCTTCGCCGCTAGGCAGATTCGTGTGGGTTTTATTTGGAGCATGCCAAGGTGCGGGCATTGGGCAGCAGCGATCGATTTCGACTTCAGATGAATGTCGCATCACGGCCGAACAGATGGACCTGGCTCTGGGGAAGCAATGAGGCCATCGCCATACCCAACCCGAAACGCGCCACCAGTTCAGGCTGTCTCAATCTGGCAGTCCCCGCCCAGCAGGTAAAAGAGCCATTAGCCCTCCGCAACAGCCAAGCACTCCAAGATTGATTTTGGCCACGGGACGGAATGTGGCTATCACTCAAGTAGGCACAAGAGGAGGGTTGGAGGGCAACCCGAGTTGCCCGAGGGAATGTCTCAGAGCATTGCCTGGCGCCGATGCCAATTTCCCGATACTTGGATCAAGCTTGTTTGCTGTGCTGGAATATGCGCGCGTGCATGACACGGCGGTGCACTGCATTACCGTATTCTTGGTTGCTGACAAGCAAAACATCCGGAATTGAGCCCAGGGGAGGCAGCCAAGGCAGCCAAGGAAGAACTCATCAGAGAGGGAGGTGCCAATGACGCACATGTCAGATGAGTCCATGTTTCAGGCACTCAGCTCGTCGATCACTTTTCAACAACCAGTCAGGGGGTTAGCGAGATGTGATGTGGCGCAGCCGTTGCCGATCAGCCACGTCGTCCCTCCATTTCAGCCACGGACTTGATTGTGCTGAGTTGCACACCGAGTCATTTCCATTCCAATCCAAGGTTCCCTCGAGATTCAAAGCTGAACAGTGTGTCTGGGTGAATCATCAATTAAAGGCCCCTTCTTTCCTTGTCTTTTTTTCTCAGCTTGAGGCTCAAGAACCCGCAAGCCCTGCAGCGAGCGATGATTTTAGAACGGGAGTTTTAAAATTCGATACCCACCGGCTAGCATATTCCCCCTGTAAAGCTGTGGCTCGTTTCTCTTCACTATCAGCGCCTGGTGGAGGTTGCCCAAGTGGTGCCTGGCGAGCTGGATAAACTCCACCTATTCTTATCCCGAGGCTATTTGCTTTGGTGCGACGAGCTTCTTCGCCCTAGTCTCTACCTTCTTGACGTCCATAATCACAGGCATTGGCTGTTGAAGATCACAAAACTCTAGCATATCGATCATTTCTGAATGTCACGAAATATAGGGTCCGGGACTTTATACAAGCAATATTCCAGCACCCTCAACAGCTCTCTAAGCCAATTTATGGTAACAATTTGTAATGGGTTAACCCGAGGCAGAGCTTTGAATGAGAATCCGCCAACGCAGTTACCAACATGCTCGAGCGCAACGTTGATTTGGCTCGACCTCTTCTCAAATAGTCGTATTTGTATCTTTATATACACTCTGCCAGCATGATGCACAGACTAATTTTATCTAAAATGGTTTAGGGGCCAGGGAAAGTACGTGTATTCAGCGCAGCATGATATCTGACTTCTGGTAGGCAATGTTCATGAAAAAAAAAAAAAAAGAGAGGAAAGCAGAATTAATGAGTCCCAAGTCAATTAAGTCTACCTTGGTAATGCAAAAGAAGAGAGGAGCCAACGCCGAAGAGAAGGTCATGCTTTCTATATTAACGTAAAGTGGAAAATGGGTATAGTTGGACTCTCGTATCCTAGTGAACCCACCAACCCAAGCGCTCTCCCTACTTCTTCCCTTTGAGGGGCTCCATGCCAAAAATATCATCAGAACTCAGGGGATCTTTCCCGTCCACCGGAGAGGTTACCTCGCCAAAGAGAAACGCATTTCTCTCGCGGCTCACATTATTAGAGGACCGCTTTTTGTGGCTCGGGCTAGCGGGAGACTTGATAGATGCTCGAGGAGAAAGTGAAGGGACGGACTCGTTCGGCTCTAACATCCATGAGAAGGATGATTGCGCCAATGTTGAGCGTGTAGGAATGGGCTCTGGTCTCTCTGGAATAACGGTCTCAGCTGCAAGAGGACCCTCTGTGACGCCGTTTGAAGATGTGTCAGTGCTCTTTTGTTCAGACCCAGGGTCTTTTGAAACTGTTGATTGTTCAGGTACAGCATTGGTGTCTGAGAGGCTTAGTGAGGAAATAGCGAGACCCTCCGGTTTGTGATGTCTGATTATCGACTCCTTGGCGACTACCTTCGGGTTCGGCTTCTCGTCAGTGTCCATGGCATCATTATCCTGGCTAGAGTTCGGTTCGTTTGAAACCAAGAGCTCCATCGTAGGGTCTTCCAGGTAGATTTTGACAAATTGGATCTTGGCCGCCGCAATCTCGATGAGTTCGAGGCTTTTAGCCTTCTCGTCCATGGGGAATGCAGAAAACTCCTTCAGGCTCTTCACTGTTTCCTCGAGCATATTCGCCAGCTGCTGATTCCGCTTCTCCATGGCCGCCAGTGCCACTTCTGCATTTTCACCCTTGAAATCCTCCGGGACCATGCGGGGTGTAATCATCGATTCGTTAAATCCCTGCATATTTCGCTTGATTTCCCCCACGGCATCCCTAACTGCCTGGTTAATCCCGAGTTTCTCGCCTCTTTCAAATACGCCGCGCGCGCCCTTTGCAGCACCTTGAAATATTGCCTCAACGCTAGCCTGTTGATTTCTGAACGCGTTTGGAGAGCTAAGCGGGGATTTCGCACCGAGCGCTCGCTGGCGGAAGGCATTGAAAGTGCGGAAACTAGGCGTCGACGGCCGAGATGCATCTGGTGATTTAGGTCCTATGGGCATTTTCCCTGTGTATCTCACGATGAGGGTAGCGCCTCCAGAGATATCCAGGTGCGTACGCAGGTACTCAGCATCGTCAACAAAGGTGTGAGGTCCGTGGACTGGGTCAGGAGCCGGATATTTCAGTAAAAGTTGTAAGCAAACAGAGTAGTCGGCTTCCAATACTAAGCGGAAATGAAAACAGATTGTCAGATATCTTTACACATGGTTCACAGAAGTGGCAACCTACATTGCCAGCGAATTCGGACCAGCATCGCAACACATATTAAGTCTATCAGCTGCAGTGTCGGATCTACAGCAAATATAGTGTCCCATAGAACGAGAAATTGTTCGAATGGGAACTCTCTGCTAAATAAAAGACGCACCCATCGGCTGTGCCCAGTTAGAGAATCGGCTCTCATAGACGAATGAGGGGTCAATGAGCAAACTTACATGAGGAATATTTGGGGCAGAATTTCTATGCTTGTTAAGTGGGACGCAAGCTCCGGGTCTACTTTCTGCAAACAGACTTGATGTATGAACTGGCTTCGTTCCACAATGGTCGACGATTGTGACCGGTTCTGTGATGCCGACTCTGCCTTTCCAACCGTAGGCTCTAGTGCATAGAACGATTGAGCATGCTCCATCAACGTCAAAAACATGAGAAATGCATCATGTTCGATGAATGAGATGTCGACCAGCTCCAGGAGAAGCGTATCGATGGATGACTTGTCGGCAGCGGCGGATGCGTCAATGGCATCACTCTCGAGTACATGGACAATCGGTGCCAATAGTTCGTGCATGCCCTGACGGTATCCGCCTCTCTCGGGGTATAGTTTGCAATACATGAAAAGGACGTCCAGTATCAATGTTTGGATTCGTTCCTCATGATAGTTTGCCTCATCGGGAAGCCTCTTCACATCTTGCTGAATTTCAGCGCGAATTGCATCATCTTGCCGCGCGGTTTCCCAAGGGGACTGCATAGGTTATCTCTTGTCAGCGGTAGCAACTCAGAGAAGGCAGGAGTGAGTGTAAAATTGGTGACATACGCTGGGGACATCTGCCAATGGGTCGACTGATAGCTCAGCGAGGGCTTCTGGGTGCTTCACATATTTTAATAACGACTCTCGGCGACAAGCATAATCTTCTCGGCCATCACGCAGGGTCTGAAACCAATCTTCCTCGGCCTTGGTACTTTTGGAGAGTAGGAATGTCTAGAATGCGTCCAAAAGCTGTGTGAGAAGAGAAACACGAATCGACCAGGGATGGTAATTGTAGTGCTTTCGTGGCTCACCTTCCAGCATAATGAGCGGAGCCCTATAACACAGGGGCTTCCTTGGCCGTTATATTTGACAGCGGTTTGAAGCTCAGAGATGCTGTTGCTTTGTGCTTGTGTTTCATGCCAGCGTTGGCTTCCTCGTATGTTAGCGGGATGAAGAAGGTCGTCGATGGAGGAATAGCCGTCTTCAAACGCAATAGCTCAAGGATTTACTCACATTATTTCATCTAGAGGTCTCATGCTGGG